GATAAAAGTAAATGGAAAGACAGGAAAATGCTAGAGGAATGGGAAATGTTTAGGGTAGCTGAGACTCCTAGGAATGGGGGGAATGTATAGTGCAGGATGTGGCAGACTACACTACTATTGGCAAATACTTGCTGCCCCTCCCCCTGACATCAGGTTTGGCCATGTGAACTGCCCTCAGCAGAAGCTTTCAGTGCCATGCTCTTTGCTCTCTGCCATAACAATCAGCAATGTTTCAGAAAGGGTCCTAGAGCAAAGATCAGGTGTGTGAAGCAGACACAGCCAACCCATAACGACCCTGCAGTATGAGTGAGAAATAATTCTGTGGTTGTCATCCAGTAAGATTTTCAGATTGCTACCACAGCGTAACCTAGCCTATAGAGATGTGCATTTCAAGCTCTTGACTTCCAGGCACATAGTAGGATTGCACTTTAAGTAAGACATGGACATGTGACTAGTTTTTGACCAATAATATGTAAAACAAGTAATGTATGTCATTTCTGAGGAAGCTTTAATGCCAGTGTGAATTCACCATGCTCTCTGTCCCCTGCTGGAGTGATTGGGATGATTGTGGAAGCATCTATCAAGATGAAACCTTCTTCAGACTCGGTCTCAGAGTGAGTACATTAAGCAGAGCCCCTCTGACCTTGAACATGTAGTATCAGCAAGAAATAAAGTTTTTTTGTTAAGCCACTGAGATTTTGAGATTGTTTGGTATGGTGGCAAACCCAGCCTATCTTGACTGATATAAAAATTGATACCCAGACATGGTTAATGTAATAACAACAATAACATAAGTAAACATCTGTTTAGAGGGCAGTAACTAAGTACACTGCTATCAGATGGCGATCTATTTGGTGAACATATCACCTGTGACAATCTAGAAGGCATATCATGAACCTAATGAACTAACGCACGAAGCTGTGAAACAAAATGTTAGTGGCATGTGTTGGTGGCTGTTAGATGCATTTGGAAATTTATCACAAAAAAGAGATGAGCTCAGAGAAGATCTGGCCAGTTTGCAGGCAGGAATGAAAGAGAGTAGGGACAATCTCTAAACTCAGAGATTTGTAGGGTTAGAAGAGGCTATTGTTTCTCAATCTCAACTAGTAAAATATAAAATTAAGAAATGTTTTCAGGGCCGGCCCCGTGGCTTAGCGGTTAAGTGCGCGCACTCTGCTGCTGGCGGCCTGGGTTCGGATCCCGGGCCCACACCGACGCACCGCTTCTCCGGCCATGCTGAGGCCGCGTCCCACATACAGCAACTAGAAGGATGTGCAGCTATGACATACAACAATCTACTGGGGCTTTGGGGGGAAAAAATAAATAAATAAAATCTTTAAAAAAAAAATGTTTTCAGCAAAAATCAGCCTTGAAGTTTGGATCAGGTCAAGGGTATGGCCTCAAACCTATTGTTAAATGGATCAAGTCAAGGGTACGGACTCAAACTTATTGTTAAATCCTGTGGATAAATTAGGATGTCACCAGCATATGCTTTCCATTGGACAAAATGGCTCTGGAAAATGGAAGAAAAGTGTGACTCTCTCACCAAACCCCAAAGCACTCAAAACCAAGTCAGGAGAGAGAGAGGGAATGAACAAGAGAGAGATCAGCAGGCATGAGAGCAAGACAGCAAAGAAATATGGCAAACCATAGAAGTATATATAAAAAAGAACTGGTTCTTGGCACATGGAATGCCTAGAATCAAATAGATAGAAGCCTACATTTTTGGGAGAATTGTCCTGCCAAAAGAACATCAGCTTGGACTAAAGGAGACTGCATTTGAGACTGAATATCACTCTATACCCCTCCCCCAATTTTTAAAAGCTTATTTAAAAAAGTATTTCCCTATGCCTGTTTTAGATGTAGAAAAAGACGACTCTCAGAGGGCAGAGCCAGGGGTCATGGAAAACAATGGATAGGGCAGCTACACTCAGGGAGCAGAATCAGGGTCTAATCAGGGTGTTGGGTAGGGGTCCTCCACATGTCTGCTCAGTGGACTAGTGTCTACTGTGGTCTCCCATTCCTTCACTTTCCAAACCGTGTGTCCATTGCATTATCCTGTCTCTCTCCCACCATCACATATTGAGGGCGTGCAGGGTGGATATCTTGCCTTTAGATGTAGAGTCTACTACGCATCACACGGACCTGAAAAGTCCTCAATACCCTGTGACTAAATGAGTCTTTAGAGTTTTTAGGGTAGATGAGTCTAGATGAGTCTTTAGTGTCCCCCTTGAGGAAAGAATGAGGGAACTTGCCTGTGGGAGGATGGTAAGCCAAACATTTGGTGAACAGAAAGGGGACTGCTAAGAGTCATCTGTGTTGTTCCCCAAATATTCCTGGCTCTCTCCCTTTGAGATACTTGGCAGGATTACAGAGGGGTAAAGTTAGGCATGGCCACCTGACTTGCTCTGGCCAGTGATACATGAGCAAAAGTGTAGTGTGTCACTTCCAGGTGGATGCTTTAAGAGCCCTTGAAGGATCTGCCACCCTTCTCTCCCCCAAGCCAAGACAGTAATGAGAACCGTGCGTCAGGAGGCAGCCTTCTTCAGCCGGAGCCCTCGAGGGACCACAGCGAGCAGAACTCCTCTGCAGACCCACAGTGGGCATGCAGCATGAGCAAGAAATAAACTTCCCTGGGGTAAGCCACTGAGATGTGAGGCCTGCTTGTTAGGGCAGCATAACCCAGCCTTTCCTGACATACTGGAAGCCAGAAATGAGGCTGGAGAGCAGGAGCCGGACTGCGAAAGGCCCCTTCTCCCAGGCAAAGGCATCTGAACTCTCTCCTGGTTGTATGGGGAAGCCAGTGGAGGCTTCCAAGCAGGGGCGTTAACATGAACAGATCCGTTATTTTTTGGAATGAAATATGCTATTTCTCAACATAAGGAGAAAATCAGCCTACTAAACCACATAAGGCAGAGAGGAACACACAGAACCCTTAGGCAAAAGATATATATTTATACAAAGCCTAAATCCTGAAGTTTCTAAATACAGGAGCTCTGAAAGGAGGCCCTGAAAGGAGTTACGGAGGTTCAGGCAAGACAATTTCTTCTATCCTACCATCTAAGCGCCATTTCTTCTGCAGACAACTAATACTTTACAAGAAAATCTCCCAGAGCAGAGAAGATACAACAAGGGAAGGTAACAGACCCGACTTCAATTTCCAGCTCCCTGTGTGACCTGAGCAAGATACTTAACCTCTCTGGGCCTACTTCCTCATATGTTAACTCCAAGACAGTTGTGGGGAGAAATGGCATAAATTGCAGCCGAATGCCTGGCTGATAGTAGGTGTTTAATACATGAAATGTATTTTTATTACTGCTATCATAAAAGTTATTAAGAACATCAGCTCCCTGATTACAAAAGAAAACGATTCAGGGCAACAGTATACAGAATGTTCCCTCTTTGAGGGAAGTAACTGGATCTTGTCATCACTGTATCCCGTCCCCGCCCTCACCCCCACCCCAGCTCAGGGCCTGGCTCACAGGAGCCACTAGGGTTTTCCTCTGCTGTCCCTGGCGAGAGGGGAGCGCCTGGAGTGAAGAAAAGTGCTCAAGACTTCCCTAACGCTGCTGCTGCTGCTGTAGGGCTGCTGATTCTCAACTCTCAAAGCCTTAAGGCTTGCGGCTATGAATCCAAGGATTGCCCCACGTTCTGAAGGGGAAAAGCAGCACTAGAACTTAGGGACGTAAGCTGCTCCAAGTCCAGCTTCAAGCCGCAGTCCTCGACGGAAAGCCCAGGAAAGAGCTGACTTCTGCCCCTTTCCTCCTCCCAGGAGGAAGTACACCTGGTCCTTCCAGATCACACTCGCACGTCCTGGCATTTCACTGAGGCTCTGGGAAACTCCGAGGGTGGGCAGGGAAGGGGCGGTCTGTGGACCACCGGCTAGCCCGGGAGACGATACTACACTAGCTCAGCCCAGTGAGGTGGAGCTCACCGGCCCCCCCGCAGAGGAAGGAAGTGAAGCTCCCAGAAGTTCGGGGATTTGCTCCCTTCACACCGTGGCAGCACGGGCCGCGACAGAATCCACGACTCCCGGCCTCGGGATGCTTTCCACTATACACTTCTGTCCCTATGGGGTGCGGGGTGGGGGAGGATAAAGTAACAAGCACAGAAGAGGAACCACTTCCATGTGTCTAGCGCTTCCTAGAGGCTACACAGCATACGGGCCCACCTCCGGGCCGGAACGGGGAGACTCTCAATCCTGGTTCTACCCCGGCCCTGGCGGGACTCTGGCGGGCGTCCGCCGCCCTCGGAGTTGTTTTCCCGGAAGCAAATCTGGGCGTGAGGAGCGTGTGTGCGTGTGTGCGTGTGTGCGCGCTGTGCGGGGGAAGGGAGCAGATGCTCGCCGGGGTTCCCCGAGTTTCGGATTCCCTCAACTCTCATTCCCAGCTGAACGCAGAGGTGCCCCTAATTCCACCCCCATGACAAGCCTGCTCTGGAGGCAACGCCGCGACCACGCACCCTCTCCCCGCAGTCGGGGGTGCGGCGGGACTGCGCCGGCACCCAGTTTCGAGCCGTGCACACCGCCGGCTCCCGGGCGCAGCCGGACGGCCGCCCGTGAACTTGACCGGGGGACAAACTCCCGGGCGTCTCAACGCGGGGGGCCGCCCTCGCGAGGCCGCCCGGAACGGGAGCCCGCCTTCTCGCGCCCATCCCCACCGGGACTGAAGAGACCCCTTAAGGGCGTGCTCCCGCCCCGGAAGTGCGGGGGGCGGGCCCGGGCCTCAGCCTCCCGGCCCGCGCGGCGCCCAGGTGCTGATGGGTGACACCAGGGCCCCGACACCTGGCCCGTCCCCAGCCTTCGGGTCCCCGCACCCCCGGCACCCCCGCCCGTAGCCCTGAACTTGAGCCCGCCTCCATCCGAGGCTGCGAGCGCCGCGTCCGCCCCTCGCGCGGCGGCCACCATCACAGTCAGTCAAACCCCAAGACGTCAGCCCACAATGCACCGGGCGGGCCGGGAAAGACGCGCCGGGGGAGGGGCACCGGGGAGGGGGGAGAGGGCGCGAGCCGCCGGGAGGGGGAGGGGGAGGAGGAGAAAGAAGGGCCCAACTGTAGGAGGGCAGCGGAGCATTACCTCATCCCGTGAGCCTCCGCGGGCCAGAGAAGAATCTTCTAGGGTGGGGTCTCCATGGCGACGGGCGGGCCCGCCCCCCTGAGAGCGACGCGAGCCAATGGGAAGGCCTTGGGGTGACATCATGGGCTATTTTTAGGGGTTGACTGGTAGCAGATAAGTGTTGAGCTGGGGCTGGTTAAGGGCTCAGAGTTGCACTGAGTGTGGCTGAACCAGGGCGGCGGGAGTGGCGTGCGCGGACTCGGCGAGACGGGCAGTCGGGACGGCGCTGGTGTCCGCCCCGCACATCTCACTTTCTTCTCCATTTCCTCACCAACTGCCCAGAGCTAGCGCCTGTGGCTCCCGGGCTGGTGTTTTGGGGAGCGCCCAGAGAGCCCCTTCTCCAGCCGCCCCCAGGAGGAGAGCCCCGCTGCCTGGGCGCTGCTGACAGCGCGGAGAGCGGCGACTGTCGCCCGGGAAGTCCAGAGAGGGGCTGCAGCGGCAAAGAACTTTCCTGGCCAGGAGGACAGGGGACAACTGGCCCCCGGGTCCCGGAGCGAACTTTTGCAAAGCTTTCCTCCGCCTGAAGCGGCCGCGGCGGCGGAGAGGAGAGAGGGGCGACGCGCGCTCCGCCTCGCTCGCACCGGTTGCTGAACTTGGACGAGCGCGAGCCGCGGCTGCCGGGCGCCCCCTCCCCCTCGCAGCGGAGGAGGGCACGGTCGTCGGAGTTGGGCGGCGGAGACCCGCCGCCGGCCGGCCGCTGCGAGGTCCGCGCTGATCGGCGCCGCCAGGAGCGCCGCTGTCGCCGGGCAGCGAGTTCGTCCGCGGGCCCGAGGCACCGCTGCGCCGGAGCGCGCTCCGTGAGTGACCGCGACTTTTCAAAGGCGGGCAGCGCGCGCGAGCCGGCGAGTGAGAGTGCGGGCGGCGTCTTCACCCTGCGTTCCCTGGAGCGAGCCGGGGAGGCGGGCGCAGCGGCGCGGGCGGCCGGCGGGTGCGCGCGCTCCTAGAGAAACTTTCCTCGCCCAAGGCCCGGGAGGCGCGGGTGTCCCCGCTTGCCAGCGCACTGTTGCGGCCCCGAAACTTCTGCGCGCAGCCCAGACTAACCCTACGTGAAGTGACGGGCTGTTCTATGACTGCAAAGATGGAAACGACCTTCTACGACGATGCCCTCAACGCCTCGTTCCTCCAGTCCGAGAGCGGCGCCTACGGCTACAGTAACCCCAAGATCCTGAAGCAGAGCATGACCCTGAATCTGGCCGACCCGGTGGGCAGCCTGAAGCCGCACCTCCGGGCCAAGAACTCGGACCTCCTCACCTCGCCCGACGTGGGGCTGCTCAAGCTGGCGTCGCCCGAGCTGGAGCGCCTGATAATCCAGTCCAGCAACGGGCACATCACCACCACGCCGACTCCCACCCAGTTCCTGTGCCCCAAGAATGTGACCGATGAGCAGGAGGGCTTCGCCGAGGGCTTCGTGCGCGCCTTGGCCGAACTGCACAGCCAGAACACACTGCCCAGCGTCACGTCGGCGGCGCAGCCCGTCAGCGGGGCGGGCATGGTGGCTCCCGCGGTGGCTTCGGTGGCGGGCGGCAGCGGCAGCGGCGGCTTCAGCGCCAGCCTGCACAGCGAGCCGCCTGTCTACGCCAACCTCAGCAACTTCAACCCGGGCGCGCTGAGCAGCGGCGGCGGGGCGCCCTCCTACGGCGCGGCCGGCCTGGCCTTTCCCGCGCAGCCCCAGCCGCAGCAGCAGCCGCCGCAGCCGCCGCACCACCTGCCCCAGCAGATCCCCGTGCAGCACCCGCGGCTGCAGGCCCTGAAGGAGGAGCCGCAGACGGTGCCCGAGATGCCCGGCGAGACGCCGCCCCTGTCCCCCATCGACATGGAGTCCCAGGAGCGGATCAAGGCGGAGAGGAAGCGCATGAGGAACCGCATCGCTGCCTCCAAGTGCCGGAAAAGGAAGCTGGAGAGGATCGCCCGGCTGGAGGAAAAAGTGAAAACCTTGAAAGCGCAGAACTCGGAGCTGGCGTCCACGGCTAACATGCTCAGGGAACAGGTGGCACAGCTTAAGCAGAAAGTCATGAACCACGTTAACAGTGGGTGCCAACTCATGCTAACGCAGCAGTTGCAAACGTTTTGAGGAGAGACTGTCGGGGGCTGAGGGGCAACGGAGAAAAAACAATAACACAGCGAGACAGACTTGAGAACTTGACAAGTTGCGAGAGAGAGAGAGAAAAGAAGTGTCCGAGGACTAAAGCCAAGGGTATCCAAGTTGGACTGGGTTGCGTCCTGACGGCGCCCCCAGTGTGCACGAGTGGGAAGGACTTGGCGCGCCCTCCCTTGGCGCGGAGCCAGGGAGCGGCCGCCTGCGGGCTACCCCGCTTTGCGAACGGGCTGTCCCCGCGCGAACAGACGGTAGACTTCTCTTTAACATTGACCAAGAACTGCATGGACCTAACATTCGATCTCATTCAGTATTAAAAGGGGGGAGGGGGAGGGGCTTACAAACCGCAATAGAGACAGTAGATTGCTTCTGTAGTACTCCGTAAGAACACAAAGGGGGGTGGGGGGCGGGAGGGAGGTTTGTGAGAGCGAGGCTGAGCCTGCAAATGAACTCTTTCTGGCCTGCCTTCCTTAACTGTGTATGTACATATATATATTTTTTAATTTGATGAAAGCTGATTACTGTCAATAAACAGCTTCATGCCTTTGTAAGTTATTTCATGTTTGTTTGTTTGGGTGTCCTGCCCAGTGTTGTTTGTAAATAAGAGATTTGGAGCACTCTGAGTTTACCATTTGTAATAAAGTATATAATTTTTTTATGTTTTGTTTCTGAAAATTCCAGAAAGGATATTTAAGAAAATACAATAAAATATTGAAAAAGTACCCCTTCCCCAACCTCTTTTCTGCATTATCTGTAGATTAGCTATCTAGGCCGAGTTGAAAGAGTTAAGAATGTCAATTAAAATCACTCTCAGTGCTTCTTACTATCAAGCAGTAAAAACTATTCTCTACTGGACTTGAGAAATAACTGTAGCTAATGCTGTTATCAAGTTATACTCTTCCCTCCCCCAAGCGTCTATATAGAGCTGCTTACAAAGGGTAGTGTGGTTTCAGGAGGCTGAGGGAAGGGAGGTTGTGGTGGAGAGGGACAGCCCGCTGGGGAGTCAGACACTTTAAAGATTATATCATGTGGCATGTGCTGTGACCATTTTTGACATTAGAAATTTAACAATAGATTCTTATTTTCAAAGCAGGAACGGTGGCAGAGTTTTACAAAAGATGTGTCTTTCCAATTTGGACTCTTCACTTTAACAATTCCTAGATAAAAGAGATGGTCTTTGCTTATGAATATTTATAACAGCATCCTTGTCACAATAAACGTATTCAAATACCAATAACAGATCTTGAATTTTTTTCCCCTCACTACTTTTTTTTTCCCAAACTCTATACTGAGGCTTTTCTTTTCAGTTGCTAGGGTTAACATTACTGCCATCTGAAGTTACTTGGCAATTAAGAAGCAAAGAATTTAGAAAGAGTGAACACAAATTGCAATCTGGATGAAACATTCTCCCAGTTTCATTAGTTCATATTCTCAGTCTCTCTCTCCCCCTCTCCCTCTCCCTCCCTCCCTCCCTCCCTCTCTCTCTGAAATAAACACCTATGGCTAGGCAAATTGCCAGTATAGCAGTTTACCATTTTGGATCCTTCTGTAGTTTATTTCTTAATTTGTTTCTAAAATAATCAACCTTATTTAAGTAATTGTTATAGACTCATTCTCAAAAGATGATAATCTAGATACTATGGAAAAGATTCACAAGAGAAATGATGAACATAATCATTACCTGTGTACATCAAACCTTAGCACTGGGGAAATGGCAAACTTACATTCTCTCCACAGATTTAACTAGGAGATCAACAAGGCAGGATTCGACAAGGAGCAATTTTTGCTTGGTTGCTTTTCATCCCAAGAGCTGGTGTGATTATCAAGCAGCAAAAGCAATTTGATATCCAGGAATATTTCACAAACCACTAATTGAGGCAGGGCTCTTTGCTCATTAGCAGTGCTCTCCTACCCAACAGGTCTGAGAGTGCTAATATCCTGCCTGTGGCTGTAAATCCAAAGACAAGGAATTTCTCCTTAGGAGGATGTCCAGGAGTGGAAGAGACTGGGCAGGCTTGTTAGCTGTCAGATCCACTCGTTGAAATAACACTTCTTTAACAAAGGGTTACTGGGAGCAGAACAGAGTTTGCCAAACAGTGAATTTGCCGATGTCAGCAACCCGGAAGGTAAGTTGATTTTGACCATATGTAGGAATAGTCAGCAGAGGGACAATAAAGCACTTTGGGGTGGGGCTCTGTGGAAGCTAAACAAGAGCCAACTAGAAAAAATAAGCAGGCTGGGGAATTAATTACCTGCAAAGGTAGACTAAGCCCAGACAACAGTGCAGCCCAGGAAAGCCACACCACTCCCCAGGTTGTTCTAGACTTCAGTGTCAACAAAAAAGCCTGAAACTCAGCCCTAAACCCCGCTTGTTTGTTTCGACTAACATTCTAAACTATATCCCTGAAATTCTAACCATTTTAACCAAAGGGGTAGAAAAAACAACTGTGGTAGAGGAAATTAACCAATGACTTCCTGTAAACTTTGGAGACAGGAAATCTGCTAATTATTTGTAGACGCTCAAAGGTTAATTTTATTATGGATATTCAATGAGTTATTCTTTGGGTAACACTCATAGTTGGAGAAAATGGTGCTAGTGGCACATAAAGCCATTAATCTTTTAATTTGTTATTTATGTACATATATATATAATAATTCAATCAGAGATTCTTAACCCTTTGTGTCCATTGGGGCAGAGAGTTCGTGAACTCAATGAAAATGCCTGCAAAATTGTGTGTGTGGGTGTGTGTGGGTGTGTATGTGCATGTACACACACACTCCCCTGGGGAGAGAGATCATTAGCTTTTATTTGGTTCCCACAGAGTTCCGTGACTGAAAAAGGTTAATAATTCCTGACTGCATGGCTACATACTCATTACGAGAAACCTATCTTTTTGTGAATCTGAATCCCAGGCCTTTTACCCCTCCATGCTTCTGCTTGTGCTCATCCCTCTGCCTGGAATACCTTTCCTTCTGGCTCAACAGATGAATCCTACTCATTCTTCAAGGCTTGACATAAGCGGCACCTCCTCCATGAAGCCTTCCTTGCTAACTCCATCTTCAAGTGGAATGAATATTCCCCAATGAGCATCCATAACATTTTATCAAAACTTCTATAATAGCACTCATCAAAGTATTATCATTGTGAACCTCTGTGTCTCCTGGTCAGAGTGCTATCCTACTCATCTGTGGACCCAGACTCCTTGTACATGCCTGCCTGGCACATAGGAGATGTTCCATAAAATAAATGTGTGATGATTGAATGAACAACTGAACTGAAACCCTCCTCCAAAACAATTCCAGGTCTCAATTTCTTCTAGTGAAGTACACCGCATCCATTTCCAGGTGCACAACTCCAGGGGGATTGAAGACCTCCAGAAAAGTCAAACCCGGCCAATCACCAAGTTTGAAAGCCTAGTTCTCAATGAGTGCTCTTAAAATAATTAATGTGTTAGCACATTCATGCTTCTAGCCGCACAGAACGTCCCTTCCCTCTTGCACTAATGCAAGTGGGCATCCTCTTCTGTCAAATGGCTCTGCCTGAAACATTAGGCTTGGAGGTGGAGATAGGGAAGAATAATATGCGATCATGAGGCAGGCACAAAAAATAGTTCCAGATGTGGCTTTGTTAAAAATAACCACTTCATTGGTATGGGGACTTTCCGTTTGTAAAGTTAATGTATTTCAGGGGTCCAGAAGTTAATACCCAATATTTGCTTGACAGAGACAAGGATCATGCTAATGTATCTATTCCCTCATGTCTTTGTATTGTTAGGGAAGATGTTGAACTAAGGAAAAGACAATGCCTTTTAGTCTGCCCTGCCCCTTGCCTCCACCACCCACTTCTGTGTGGGTCAAGTGGAATCTCACAGAAGAGAAGAGAGTAAGAAGCTGGGTAGCCCCAGAAAGTGACTCTATCCCTTCCTAACTCTGGAATCTGGCTCCAGTTTTTTCATTTTGGGCTTTTGACATCCCAAAGAAGGGTGCGCCCCTGAGCCTGGGTCTCTTTGAGGCCCTATGCTAAGCATGGGGATTCAATGATGAGCAAGACACAATCCCTATTCTCAAGGAAGTCTCAGTCTGATGAGGAGGAGTGTGGAGATGAAGCAGAAAGAGGTGCTGGATGTGGGGAGGAAGAGCCATTATCAGGGAAGACTTCATGGGAGAGGCGACATCTGAGCTGACCCAGTGGAACTCACCAGGCAGAAAACGTTGGAGGAGGAACACGTGTGCAGAGGCACAGGGGCATAAGAAAACATGGTGTATTTGGGGACTTGTGAGCTGCTTAGGGAGGCTGGGAATGAGGGTGTGAGAAGAAAAGTGAAGGGAGACGAAGCAGGCAAGTTCAAGATCAGGTTGTAAAGTCATATCTGTTCATGCTGAGACTTTGGTTGTTATCCTGTAGGTGACAGGGACATGTAGAAAGATTTGAAGCAGAGTAGAGACATGGACTCTCTCCACTGAAGAAAGGTTCATGCTGGCCACAGTTTGGCTGATGGACTGGTGGGAGGAGGCTAGGTAAGGAGAGCAGAGGGTTTTAATTTAATTTAGAATGCCTGTGTATTTAAAGTAGTCCTAGAGTTAAGGGAGAAATGGGAAGAAGATGGCTTGGTCCAAGCTCCATCATGCCACCTTTCTCCTTGCACAACTTTCTGGCAAGTCAGGCCTAAGAAGGGATATCAGGAAGTTCACCCTTCACCTGTGCTACCTGTCCCATACTTAAGTGTTCTCTCCACCATGTCAATTCGACATCTGAAGGTAAGTCATCCTACAAAATGGTCCAGAGCCCACCTGCTCAGTGTGAGGATGCTCAAATAAACAGATGTGAAAGAAAGAGCCTTCTGACCTCCCAGGGTCACAGTACAGAGCTGGTCCTCACTGCTGTGGTGCCCAGACCTGGTGTTATCTAGTCACCCAGAACTCACTAAGCTCAGTGGGACTAATTGACCCAAACTATACAAACTCTTTGATGCAAACAAAGAGGCCAATGTTTTTATTTATGTTGGGGGAATTGAATAATAACACTACATTCATATAACACTCATTTTATTCAGCAAGCAATAT